TGCCATTCATTGAGTGAGCAGCCTTGAACCAATGTGTTTAAGTTCCCTCATGTAGCCATGCTGAGTATAGTTAGACAATGCATTATTGGCTACTGTTAGTAACATCAGCTATCACAATCATAGCCCAGCCTCAGAAAATCCAGCTGCATTTAAACTGTAAGTAAACTCAGGTGTCTCGGCAAGGCATGTCTGTACAATTTTCTTCTTGAGATAGAAATAGGCTTCGATCTTGATGCCAACTCTGCCTCTGACTTTAAAGTAAGCACAGCAGGGGCGTCCCTTCCAGGCGTGGTATCACTAGTGACAGTGACTCCTTGACTGTATGTCTCATTTCCTAAAGCTGAGGAGGGGCCAAAGCAGCCAGTATCTTTGTAGAAGATGGCACTTGTCTTTGAACTCGGTTCAATCCTATATCTCGGATCTTGTCTGGAGCTAGAAATGAGCAGGGGAAATCCAATTGGTCCGGTTGTTCCCTATGTTGTCCCTGGGGTCTTACTTTAAACTGCAGAAAGCATCTGACTCCACTCAAGCCCTGTCCTAAATCAGAAGCTCCAGGCCTCTTGTGCATGAATGCCACACTGCACAGAGGTCCAGTGGCGGGCAGATCACACATCATGATGGGACCCGCAGCACACCCCAGCTGCTCCTCAGTGAACCATTCCTCATGCATCTAGAAATCTCTTTTGCACCTGTGTATGGTTCTAGCTGCTGCTCCCTTGTGGGAATGAGAAATCACCATCTTCAGTTTCCTTTTCCAAACAGCAGGGTTGCCTCTTGTCTCTCCTAAAGATGTACCTGCTGCTAGGGGCTGCTTCTGTTAGCATGCCCTTCCCAATGCTCACCAGGACCTGTTGATTTTGATCAGATGCTCCCAGAGTTTGCCATCCTGACTCAGGCAGCATCCTGACTTCCTATGGCTTTTCATTTGCTCAAAGCCAGAGAAAAACAAGCTAAGTGTCTAGTTCTAGCACTTTCTAGCTGTCTGGAAGCTTATCTGAATGCTAGTTTCTGTATCTGAAAGATTCTAGCCATAGGCTAGAATGAAGAGTCCTGTCTCTTAAATGAGAGTCTATAGGGCTTGGTGGGTGCCCTAAAATCAGTTTACAGGCTGGGAACTGATGGATCCAGGCTAGGATGAAATCAGCCAGTACAGGAAAAGAGTGTTGAAAGATCTAGAATATCTGTGTTCTGGAATCCAGTTACAGGAAGCACATTTACCTTTATGTATTTATGTATTTATTTATGTTTGTTTATTACACAGTGTGGGGAACCCCCCTTCCTCATGTGGGTCCTGGGGATCCAAATCAGGTCATTGGGTTTGGCTCACCTTTACCAGCTAAGCCATCTCCCTGGCCCATCTTATCATTCAAGTAAAGGAAGTCTGTCAGTACTGAGAACCCCTTGCCAGCTGGTAGAGCCTGAGAAAAAGACACATTACCAGCTTCAGCAGGAGGAGTGACATGATCACTTTCGCATCCTCTGATGACTTGTTGGGCTCCCTTGAGGCCTGCCTGCCATCTTGCAGGAGTGGCCCTCACTGGCTGTCTTCCTGCAAGGGATGCTCCTCTGAATGGTCAGCTGTATGGCCAAACAGTGCCAATGGCATCCTTCTTCTTCAAGATCATTTGTAGAGTCCCACTGAGCTGGGCATGGTGACTTATGGCCTATAATCCCAGCTCCTAAAGGACTGAGGCAGGAGAACTGTCCTGAGGTTGAAGCCATTCTGGGCTAGAATGAGACGCTGTCTCAAAAAAACAAAGGCTTGCTCTCACCCACCCCCAAGTGCCCCACTCACCAATGGGGACATGTAGAGACCTGGGTCATTCATCCCTCTGGGGAAGGCCTCTCCTGTTCCTTTACTTGTGACCATATCATGTCCTGAGCAAGGAGTTTCAGCCCTGTAGCCTGCTGCCCTGAATCCAGTCTCCCTGACCATGGGGCTTCCAGCCTGGCCTCAGGGTGAAATACTTGTCTATCCCTGCAAGGGAGGCTCCTTCTGATGTCTGCTTTTCCATGGCTATGCAGTGGGCTGCTGGGGACTCTCATATTCAATAATTTATCTTTCCTCACGGACACTCTGCTATTGTTGCCTCTGACTGCTAGCCTTGGCCAGACGATCCTGCTAGATGTCATGTTGAAACTGTTGGAAAGTTACTTGGGCTAGCAGAGGAAGTGATGAAAGGGCTGTAAATGATGTCAGCTTTACAGTTGGCAAACACTACATCTGGGGAAACGTGAAGTCACAGCCTTGCCAATTAGGGCTGTTCCTCAAGACAACTCAGGGGTGTGGCTGCTGCAACCCTGGAGCTCCCCCACTCCAACTCCCAAAGACACAGCAGATGGTGTCTGCCCAGACTCCTGAATCCCCTGTGGATTGAAGCAGGGATTTCCTCACCCCCTGATTACTATTCCAGACCCTTTCTGTGAGCTGGGCTGGGCTCGAGGCCCTATTAGTGGGTCTGTGGTCTCTCTCTCACAGCTTCCCCAGGGAATAGTGATGTCTGCAAGATGAGTGTCTGGTCTCCAGGATGTAGGGGCCTCCCAGAAACTTCCCGACAACAGGAACTGAGCAGCTTTGAAACTCCAGCCGCTAGCAAGTGCCTGGTGCTGAGCTGCTCCCCAACCAGAACATTTGCTTTTCCTATCAGTCCCAGAGCTAATCAGACATGGTGCCTGCACGAGACGGCCCAGGGTAGGGGACTGGGCCAGCCTTGCCCAGCCCTGCATGTGCGCTAGAGGGACGGCCTTTCTTCAGGTGTTGCCCAGTAGCTTTCACCCCACCTTTTCTACCTGGGTGGAAAAGCATTCCTTCTGTCTCTTGAAGTTTTATTGAGTTTTTATAAAGAGGAGTGGAGCAAGGGAAAGAAGGGTGACGGGTGTGATGGTACACACCTAGAATCCTAGCCCTCAACCAAAGTAGGAAGAGTGGTATGGACTTGGGGCCAGCCTGGGCTACATAACACCTTCTTAACGAGAAAGAACTGGAGATGTGACCCAGTGGTTAAGATGCTCTTCCGGAAAACTCGAATTCAGTATCCAGCAATCGCAGTCACATGCACACGCATTCACATCTTTTCATTTAAAAGAATAAAAGGAGAAAAAGAAGCTGAGAGGCTCAACCTTGGGGAAAGATATTGGGGACTTGGGGTCTCCTCATACACTTACTTTGACAAGCTAGAGGCCTTGTTACCGCCCCCCCCAACCCAAAGAGGCGATGGTACCTGGGCACACCCATCTTTGGTCAGTTGCCTGCCCTGCCTCGACATTATGAGTTAAGTACTTGGCACAGAGCAGAATCACCCCAGCCTTGTCACCTTGAACATCAGTAGGAATGGGTTGTCTGTGTATCTGAGTGCAGTGCAGGTGCCTTAGTGGCCATAGCACTTCTACAGGACCCAGACAAGGACAGTTTCCCAGGTACAGTGTGTTTGCACTTGACTTTTAGAACAGGAATGTAAGCTCACAAGTGTGTGGTGTGCTTTTTTATGCCTCCATGAGCTGAGGATTAAAGATGTGCTTTATTCTCTACAGTTTTTATTGTATATTGGTGGTTTCAGTGAACTGTTTTTGTAATCCAGAAATTCATTAAACTTCTGATAAAGTTTCAAGAGTATCACTGTAAATGAAACAGTTTGGGGTTTTTGTTGTTGTTGTTTGTTTTTTGTTTTGTTTTGTTTTTTGGTTTTTCGAGACAGGGTTTCTCTGTATTGCTTTGGAGGTTGTACTGGAACTCACTCTGTAGACCAGGCTGGCCTCAAACTCACAGAGATCTGCCTGCCTCTGCCTCCTGAGTGCTGGGATTAAAGGCATGTGCCACCACCACCTGGCTCAGTTTTTTTTTTAATAAATTGTTTAGTTGTTGTAACATGAACTTCATCCTTTCGGAGACCTTTGTCCTGAAGAAGACAGAGGGTATCAGAAAGGACTGGAAGCCTGCATCCTGAGCAGCAGATAGATGGCTGTATGAAGAACCAGAAGTGGGCTGGGAATAAAGCCAGTTTGTAGAGTGCATGCCTGGTTTCATCCCCAGCGTTATATAAACCAGGTGTGGTGTCACACGCCTACAATTCCAGCACTTGAGGAGTGGACGCAGAAAAATCAAGGGTTCAAGGTCAGCCCACTTACTCAGTGAATTCAGGCCAGCCTGGGCTACATGAGGTTAAAAAAACCAATGAACCAGAAGTGTACACACTAAGCAGCAGACTTCTCATTCTCACCCTGTGCTCAGAGGAAAGAGATCAGGTGTCGCCCACCCTCATTGCAGCTGTTACAAGGAGTTTCTTCGTGATGTGGACTCCATGTGATGGTATAGGAGAAAAGATACTGGCAGATGCTCCTGCAGGAATTTTAGAACATTGTTGAGGAGGTTATCTGCCATTGCTCACAATGTCTCCTTCAAAAACTCTCTGAACGTGGAAGCAGGAAAGTTGACCCCATTCTGCACGTGTGTCAGTATATTTCTATCCAATGAGCATCCTTGTTTGTTCTGCCACAAAGCATAGAGCGCTGCCCGACACCAGTGCCGGAATCACAGTCCCTGCTGCCATGTCTTTTTGTGGGGGTACTACAGCTCAAACTCAGGTCCTCGTGTTCTCACAGCAAGCACTTTACACACTGAGCTATTTCTGTAGCCCCCTTTTTGGTTTTGGAGACAATGGGATCCAACTGATCTCAAACTCAGTATACCGATTAGGTTGGCCTTAAACTCCTGATCCTTCTGCCTCTACCTTCTGAGTGTTGGGGTTACAGGTGTGTGCTAACACACCCAGCTGTGAACAAATTTTTATTAGGGCTGTTATTTTTTAAATGAGCTTCTTTGAAAAAATGACTCTAGCTATCTTTGAATTATACCAAAGTCTTTGGGAAAATTCTTTTATAATCTTAGATAAATACCCAGATTTCTTAATGAAGACTCTGGGCCCTGGCTGAGCATTGGGAAGTGAGAGTTTTGCAAGGGGTGAGTTGTACCAGGTCTGACCCATGTCTCTTCGCCCCAGCAGACTCTCCTGTGGCAGCTGCAGTGGTGTCTCATTTCAACGAGTGCCCAGATTCCCACACTCAGTTCTGCTTCCATGGAACCTGCAGGTTTTTGGTGCAGGAGGAGAAGCCAGCATGTGTGTAAGTATCTCTTAGTCTCCAGCGAGTGGTCAGGCACCCAGTTAAAAGAACATTTACTTCTATGAGGCTGGCTGGGATCTGAGACCCAGAGGTCTGGGCAAGCTGAGGGATGATGAGAACTGCCAACCAAGTGCCCAGCGTGGAAGAGGAGTCCCAGGACGCCAGAGCAGGGGTCTGTTTGGAACAACAAACCCTGACTAGAGTTTAATTCTCTGCTTTGAGTTCCCGGGGAAAGTATCGGAAGGCATCACCTGGGCATTTGAACCTCCATAATGAAGTTTCCATACACCAGACACTTTGTGTCCAGCCTGTGAAACAGCTGGAAGGGCGTGCAAAGGATCAGTATACACGTAACAGCTTGGTGGCTCCCACCTCTCTGGAGCCTCTGAAAGTACTGCCAAGTGTCATGTAGGCGCTGAACCCCTCCAACACATTAGATATAAGCCAATGACAAGAGAATATGGCACTTGCCACTTAAGCCTGGTGACTTGAGTTCAGATCCCCAAAGCCAGATGCAGTAGGGTACGTGTCTGGCAAGGACCAAAACTCAAGGTCATCCTCCGACCACCACATGTGTGTCATGGCGCGCGGGCACGAATGTGCACACACACACACACACACACACACACAGCCACTGGTAATTGCCACGGACAGTGGAGTTAATTAGGGGAGAAGGGCCTTGGAGGAAAGCCACTTAGCAGGTGTGGGGCTGACCAATGGGCAAGCAGAAAGGTGTCCAGACCTAGGGTTCTAGGGACTACTGCAGGTCAGAGTGCACAGCAGGGAGGCAGCAGATGCAGTTGGAGGCCAGGGCTCATTGGGAGTGAGCCTTTACCCTCTTGGCAATGGGAGCCATGTAAGTTCAGAAAGGGATATTTGCAGGTATTCATCTGACTGTGGTGACTGTGACAAGATGGACATAGATGGATCTGTCCCAAAATTAACCTCAAGTCATCATGTTCGCTTATTTCCAAAAAAGAATTGGGCATATTCCTCCGGCATGTGAGCCCTATTCCAGAGAAGGGTCAGGGTTGCTCCTACCAACTCTTTAAGAGTCTTCTTCAGGACCAAGACCCCAGAATAGGACATTCTGCCAGCCTGTAAAAGCTAAGGCCATGGAAAACAGTGACAACCCTCTTCTCTCAGTTTCCCTACTGGATGTTGGGGACCCAGGGACAGTATTCAGCCCTCAGACATATTAATGTGACAGGTGACACTGTGTGTTCTTCTCTGGTGGCTCTAAGCCCTTGTGTGCATCTTAGAAGTTGGACTTCACGCTTCCCAGCAGGTGCTCAGCACAGAAGACACAGTGCTGACCTGGTCTCCCAGGGGTGTACCCACACCTCACCCTGCCACGGCCGCCCACTCCTCACCCAGCCACGGCCGCCCACTCCTCACCCAGCCACGGCTGCCCACTCCTCACCCTGCCATGGCCGCCCACATCTCACCCTGCCATGGCCGCCCACATCTCACCCTGCCATGGCTTTCCTCTCCTGCTCTCCGGTTCCCACCTTTCCCCAGTGTTGCCAGACACCAAAGCAGAATGTTGGTGTCCGTCACCTGCCACCACCTCCATTTGCTTACAGTCACCCACTGGGTCTCTCCAGCCATTCACAGGGCCCCTGAAAGTTGTGAGTGATTGGACTCTAATCTGCAGAGAGACCGTGGGAGACATAAGGGCCATGCCCGATCCTCTACACAGTACTCTGGGGCCACAGAGTCAGAGTGTCTGAACAAGGCAAGTTGTCAGGCCTGGAGACCTGGTGAGGTTTGCTTCCCTACCCCTTCTGGTGCATCAGCTCTAGGAGACAGGACCACACCTTGCACCTTTTTTATATTTATAGTAACGAGAAGAATGTTCTAGCTACCTAATTCCCACCAGACCAGAAACTCTGAGTCTCTACAGAGAAAGCCAGAACATTCTGTCCCCATTCAGAAAAACCTGCCGGCTTTGAGGAGCTGACACACTCAACATTCTGGTCAATAAAACTGACATACCTTGAGGTAGGGCCCCATCTGTCAGGGCCTCGTAAAGAAGCCCCAGCAAGTCGAGAATGCCGTGCAGAGGCGGGCACTGCTTCTTAGCATGCTCTCCCGGAAGGAAAGAGTCGTTAGGTTTTCAGAAAGTCTAAAATGACATTTCAGACCCTAAGACTAGAGAGTGAAAAAAAAAAAGATGCCACTAGTCAGACATTGAGAAAATCATCCTCAACCGTGTTTGCTTCAGATGAGCCCAAGACTGTTCATGTGAAATCTCACTGGAGCCCAGCAGCATGGCAGGAAGATACGCAAAAGCAGAGAACTGTGGAGATGCAAGGTCAGGGGCTACACACCCTTTCACCAGGATAGCACGGACAGGGGTGGGTCTGCTGCCTGAAGGAGGTAGAATCCACACAGGTGGCTGTGCGCGGAACCACAGGAGACTGGAGTTTCTCACGTGTCCTGGATGTTCCTGGTGACTAAATCCCTGACAGAGACTCCAGGGAAACACATCTCTGTCAGTCAAGGAAACATTCTCTCTGCGCTCCCTGGCCACAATGAACACCAGTGGGTCTAAATAGCCAAACACCTAGAGAGAGTGGACCACAGTGGCATTCCAGCGCAGGCAGGCAGGCAGTCCTGCAGCCACAAGAGATCAGATCCAGGTGGGGGATTTGCTCTTGGCATAAGAGGCCCTACAGGCAGCTCCATTAGCCTCTGAACATCAGTGGGGAGAGGGGTAGCATGACATCACACCCATGACCAGAGAAGACTATGCCTTGATTTTGTTCTATCTCCACCTCCATCCGAAACAGACAATAAAGGTCTCTCTGGATCTGAGGTCAGCTAGACCTGAGTTAAGAGCCAGATGAGTGCCCCACACAAGTGGCCTGACCCCATTTAACCTCAGATTTCCCTCAGAGACCAGTACCTCAAAGATGCACAGTGAGGACTCTGTGGCAATTGCCGTTGTGCCTCTGGGCACATGCAACTCTTCACAGTCATTGATGTAATTAAATAGGACTCAGTTTGCTGGTCTATCATGGCCTTTTAAGCTCTATACACCTGGAGGTGGCAGGGGGAGAATTCTGTAGTCATCACTGAAAAACTCTAGAAGACTGCCTAGGCATTGCTTCCAGCACAGCATAAGCAAACAAGGTTTGCCAGAGAGACTCACACAGGCTTCACCTTCCCCAAAGCTCAGGGACAGCAAAGATGTCTCAAGAGACCCTTGACTCTGAGCTGCAGAGGAAGCCCTGGCCTCCCAGCCCCATGGAAGAAAGAATAGGACCAGGTGAATCCAGTTCTTTTTGTTGTCTCAGAGCAGGGGATGGAACCCAAGGCCCCACACAAGCTAAGCAAGTGCTCCGCCACGGAGCCACACCCAGCCCTGAATCCATTTCTCCAGAGAGCAAGAAAAGGTGAACTCCATTCTCATTCCACAGGTCCTGGGGAATCCACTCCCAGTTTAGCCCTGTGGGATGATACATGTTAAGCACAAGATGATACAAAATGTGTTTCGAGACAGTTTCACCCTGGTCCTCAATCCTCAGACTCCTGTGTCTGCCTTGAGACCAATGATGAAGGACTCAGGGAGTCAACAGTGCAGTAGCTGCCTGCCAAAGAACACATCGCAGCTTACAGAGACCATGTGACTAAAGATTCTTCCTCCTTTTTATAATTTATTTCACTTTATTTTATTTGTATTGATATGAAGGTGTCAGATCCCCGAAACCAGAATAACAGAGAGCTGTAAGCTGCCATGTGGGTGCTGGAAATTGAACCCGGGTCCTCTGAAAGCAGCCAGTGCTCTTAAGCCATCTCTCCAGCCTGTGGCTATCGATTCTTAAAAAGTCCCCTTTGCGAGTGTATGCATAGGCCCACGCTTGCACATGTATAGGCAGGTTTGAGTTCATGTATGCTTATGTATGTGGAGGTCAGAGGTCAACCTCAGCATTGTTCCCTAGATTCTGTCCACCTTGTTGGGTTGGGATTTTTGTTGCTCAAGATAATTTTTATATGGTGTGTGTGTGTGTGTGTGTGTGTGTGTGTGTGTGTGTGTGTGTGTGTGTGTGTGTGTGTGTGTGCCCTCAAAGGCTGGAAGAGAGTGGTGTTGAATCTCCTGGAGCTGGAGGCAATTGTGAGGGACAGTGTGGGAGCTGGAAAACAAACTTGGGTCCTCTACAACAGCAAGTGCTCTTTCCAAGGGAACCGTCTCTCCACCTTGTTTGTTGAGACAAGGTCTCTCACAGGCTTCTTAATTAACAAGTTGTTTAGGCTTGCCAGCCAGCCAGCCCCATGGTGCACCTGTGCCTTCCCAGTGCTAGGATCCCAAGAATCCTCAAGGCCCAGCTTCATATGAGCTCTGGGGGTCCAAACACGGATCCTCCTGACTGCATAGAAAGAACTTTTACCACCTAAACCATCTCTCCAAATCCCACTTTATTTTTGAGACAGCGTCTCTCACAGGCCTGGAGCCCATCGAAATCGACTAGGGAGCCCCAGGGATCTGCCTGTCTGCTAGTAAGCACTCACCACCTTGACTGGATTCCACACCTGGATTCTGGGGTTCAAACTCGGGTCCTCAGAGTGCAGGGCAAGCCCTTTCCAGCTGAGCCATCGCCCCACCCCACTCCCTGTTGTTTAATTTCATCTTTAACAGAGACGCAGCCTGCCTTGGGTTGCAGTGCTGCTTACCTCAATGAACAAGGCTCCTTTGGTGCTCTTAACTGGGAGGCGGGTCTTACCTGCGCTTCATCTTCAAGATGCGGAGTCTGTGGTGAAGAGCAGTTACTGGCTCCAGGTTACACAGACAGGAAGGGAAGAAACGGCTTTGAATGCAGGCCAAGTGGCTACAGAACCTGCTCCAAGTTTGAGCTCCTGTCCTGGGGGTGTAATCTGAAATACAAGCAAAGTGTCTTTGTGTACAGAGATAATGTCCAGCCTTGGTTACATATCACACCCGGCCCGTCTGGGTGGAAAGAATTTGGTGAAACTAAAGCACAGAAATTACTGTGCTCCATTTAAAGTGGCTTTGCAAAGGATTTCTGCTTTCTGTTTTGTTTTGGTTTTTTTCATGTATTGCTGGGAATTGAGCTGAGACACATCCTCAGTCTGGTAGAAGTTGAGGCTCTGGTTCGAAGTTTCTTTTCTTATTGGTTTTTTTGTTGTTTGTTTGTTTGTTTGTTTGTTTTTCTCTTTCTCTCTCTCCCCTCTCTCTCTTTTACTGTATTACAGTTTCATACATTTATGTAATGAATTTTAGTCACTTATGTACATACACACTGGCACCATAGCAGTAGTATGGACTTCTCTATGTTTTTTATATTTTCTATACTTCCCAAGGTGCTTAAAGCATTCCTTTTCTAGTCGGGGAAAATTTTCCTTAAGGAAAACCTTAGCATTTGGCAGTTGTGGTTTTCATATTTCACAATATTTTAAAGAGCACTATGAGCCAGGAGGAGTAGGAACTTAGGGTGACCCAAAAGCTATCCTTGGAGGGGAAAGAGAGATGTCATAGACGGTTGAAACAGGGGGACCTGAAGCCACAGCACTGCTCTTTAGGGAAAGCTCCAAGGCACCTGCCAGCCTTAACCACCAGCAGGCACAGACCAGCCCCCAGCCCCTGGGGGGCACAGGAGAGCGGGGGCTGTCAGTGCTTATCTGCAGCCCTGTAATCCTACAGTCCGGCCAGCCACCCTCTCTTCTCTTCCCTTTTTTGTTCTTATTATAGAGAAGCAACTGGAAAGGGTCTGAATTACAGAAACCAGACAACACTGCAGAAGGGTGCATCTGACAAGCAACTGTGTCGGGCCCAGCAGACCTGTGTGTGTGTGTGTGTGTGTGTGTGTGTGTGTGTGTGTGTGTGTGTGTGTATGTGTGTGTGTCCCAGCAGACCTCTCTCTCTCTCTCTCTGTGTGTGTGTGTGTGTGTGTGTGTGTGTGTGTGTGTGTGTGTGCATGGTCCTGTGGTGAAGGTGCCAGACTCTCCTCTCTTTCCCCCTTTGTAATACAGCTCATGTCATTCTGATTCCTTTCATACAGGCAGGTGCAGCCCCTCTCTGTCTCTCTTGTGCCTGACTGGGGTGTGTACTTGCTGCTATCACTCTGCGAGTGCTGAAGGAAGGGAAGGGGAGAAAGGAGAGAAGGGAGAGGAAGACCCAATGCATGTTAACTTGGCTCTAGATTCCAAGGCAGTTCTACTTCGGGCCTGGATGCATGCTAGAGTCACCCAGGTGGTCAGACCGAGGGTATAGCCTTGGACCCAGAAGTTTCTAGAACTCCCAGGTGACTCTGCTGTGCCTGCCAGAGGTAAAGGCAGCAGCAGAGTGAGGGTGTGACTCATCTGTGGCCAGGTGAGGTGACACCCCTCCCTCCTTGTGTGACTTGTGCTTAAAATAATCAGCATAATTAAGTCTAATATTAGAAGACTAGGAATTAAAGAGAAGATGAGATGTCACTTTTGTTCGTCTTCCCCACTCATAAAGAACTACTTTATGGGCATTTTGTAGGTCAAGGTCTGCCCTGAAGGAGCGAGGGGCTGGGGAAAGAGGGTGGGCACCGATGGGGCTGCAGGTGTTCAAAGACGGACAGGGCCTGGGAGGCAGTGAGTGAGCCTCGGGAAATGAACAGGCTGGTGAGCATGTGAATGAGTGAGTATAGAAAGCACATAGTTTCTGGAGTGTGGGAAAAGTAAGGGACTGCAGTCCAGGTGTCCAAGCACCCATGTGTGGCCACCTGCACACACACCTACCCCGGGGCTAGTAAGGACCATGTGGGCCACTAGAACTAGCAGGATGTTGGGAGTAGATTAAGATCCTGCATGGAGCCGGGCGTTGGTGGCGCACGCCTTTAATCCCAGCACTCGGGAGGCAGAGGCAGGCGGATCTCTGTGAGTTCGAGGCCAGCCTGGTCTACAGAGCGAGTGCCAGGACAGCCCCCAAAACTACACAGAGAAACCCTGGAGGAGATGTCAAGCATCACAGAAAGAAAACCTATAATTCAGATGGACTCTGGAAAGTAAAGGCATCTGGGCATAGAATTAGAACTTGAGACGGGGCTGAGAGAACCTATCCAATGTTGTCTAGACATGGACAGCTCAGACTATGGGTAGCCCAGCTGATCACCAACAGCCTGGGGGTGTCTCTTCACTGTTGTTTTCCCCAGTCTGCCACCAGGGGAAGGGCCAGTGGCTACCCAGTGAGCTGTGTATCCTCTCTGCCTCCCCCCAGGTTTTCTTTTTTTTTTAATTAGACAAATTCCTGTCTCCATCCCACTGCACTGACCCATGGAAGTCAGTGTAGACAGGCTGTCTATCTAGAGCCGTAGAGCATTCTTTTATTTCCCTGTTAGCCCTGCCTGACTTCCTTATCTACCAAGGACACAAGCCCTTTGCACCATGTCCAACTTAAACTCCAATCTTTTCAACTTTTCAAGATAAGATGCTAAACCATAAGCCTACCATCCTGGTAAAGAAGAGGGAGCCAGACCCCAGTCTTGGACTTGGTACAAATGTCCTTCAAGTCCCCAGAACAAGTGCAGGGAAAGCATGACTTGACTTTTTCACAAGATTAAATGAGAAAACACACCAAACATAAATAACCCCAGCCAAAGAGCAAGAAGTCAAGCCTGGCTGCACACCGTTATCATCGAGGCATTTGGAAGCTGAGGCAGAAAGACCATGGGTTTGAGCTAGACAAGGCTACATAGCCAGCCCTTGTTTAAAAACAAAACAGCAACAAACTCAAGCATGTGTGTTTCAGCTAATAGCCACCTTTGGGCGAGTCAGGGAAGGGTGTGTACCCTTATCCCAGGCTGCCATCAGCCTTAAACCCCTACACCGTCGGTCCCTTCACCATCCAAATGCTGGTGTTTAGCCCTGGGCAAAAGCCATGATCTGAGCAAACATGCCCTGTCTGTCCTGTGGCTCCATGAGCCTTTCTGAGACCTGGGCCTGATGACCGAGGAGACAGGACTCGGAGATCCCACCTGGAGAGGCTGTGGAGCCAGCCTGGCATAGCAGCAGGTCCCCATGGAGGGCCATTAAGCCTAAGATCCTTTCTGTGCTCTTTGTTCTTTAAAGCCCTTTTACCTGACAACTGCAAGTTACAAGGGAATACGAGCATAGACTTAAAAATATTAGCTACCTTGGCCTTAGTTAGATGCATATATATATAATATAGATTCAAATTCAGTGTGTGATATGGAGCTGCTCCTCGAGAAAGCTTCCTGTCTGAGAGGGCTGGAACTTAATATTTACATTGAAGATTTAAAAAAAAAAGGGATCAGGGTAGGCCAGGTGGTGGTGGTGCATGCCTTTAATCCCAGCACTCGGGAGGCAGAGGCAGGCAGATCTCTGTGAGTTCGAGACCAGCCTGGTCTACAAGAGCTAGTTCCAGGATAGGCTCCAAAGCCACAGAGAAACCTTGTCTCGATAAACAAACAAACAAACAAAAAAAAAGGATCAGGGTGTCACCTCGTTCACTTTTGTTTAAAAAAAAAAAAGGTCATATGCTTGGAGGAATGCCAGGAAAGCAAGTGTCCCAGGTCTCCTTATTGTAGGTCCATCCTGAAGAACCACCCATTGAGCAACCCTGTGAGCACAGGAGGTTGCCTTGGCATGATGGAGCCAGAGAAGCTGGGGTGCAGCAAGACCAGTAATGAATAGGCTGGCCATGCACGCACTAGTGTGCACGTTCATACTTAACCTCATCCATACCTTTGCTCACTGTGTAGAGGACAGACATGTTTCACTTGGGTGTTCGGGGACATCCAAGCCTACAAAGAGAGACCCTGTCTCTAGCAAACAAACAAACAAACAACAACAAAAACAAAAACAAAAACACCTAGATTTGGAGCTGAGGAAACAGCTTAGTTGGTAAAATTCTTGCCATAAGATTATGAAGACCTGAGTCCAGATGGCCAGCTTCATGGAGCTGGGGGGTGGGGGGCTGATGTAGCAACCTATAGGACCCCAAAGCTGAGGAGACAGAGGCAGGACCCTTGGAACTCAGTGGCTAGCCAGCCCTGCCATATGGGTGAACTCCAGATACAGCAAGAGACACTGGCTCCAAAATAAGGCAGAGAAAGACACCCATCGCTGGTCTGTCCTCCACAGGTGTGCACACACCCATGCACCTGCACCAGCATGCACACACGCATGGACGTGCTCGCACAGTGTCGTCACCTATCAAAATGAAGCTCTTGTCCTCAATGCTGCTATTAGCACTCAAGAGTTACCCTAAGGGCAGTGATGAAGGGGGTCAGTTTCCCCTCCCCTCACAAGCAGCATCAGGGCAAAGAAGTGGGACTCACTGCCTCGCACCTGTGTCTCCCATCACAAAGCATGCAGCGGCCCTTTGCGTCTTGTCCAGCGGGCCCCAGAGCCTTCCAGCATAGCCTGGGTAAAGCAGCCCTTCTGTCGGAAGCAGGCTAACGTTCCTTTCTCCCGCAGCTGCCACTCTGGGTATGTGGGTGCTCGCTGTGAGCATGCAGACCTCCTGGCCGTGGTGGCTGCCAGCCAGAAGAAGCAGGCCATCACTGCCTTGGTGGTGGTCTCCATTGTGGCCCTGGCTGTCCTGATTATCACCTGTGTGCTGATCCAGTGAGTATTTGCCACCCCGGAGTCCATGTCCCCCACCTGCCTGACTTGCCAGGAGCATCTGGATGGAGCATGGCCACATCAAAGGGCCACGAGTTCATTGTTGTGGGATGGGAGTGATGTCAGCTGATCTCAGAGGATAGTTAATGCCTCTCCACACAGTGTCGAGCAATGTGTGCAATTGCCTGGAGCATGGGGAGTTGCCAGCAGTGGTTTGGGGCTCTTCTAGAAGTCATGTCAAATCAAAGACATGCTCCACCACTGCCGTTGAACCCAGAGCCTTCTGAAAACTTTTGAGCTGGAAACAGCTCCCAGTGCCCTTGGTCCACAACGGAAGTCTTCCTCCCTGCAGAAACCCTAAAGTTGTATCAGAGGCTCCCAATGCTGTTACTGAACATGGAGTCACCACCCACAATGCCCCTCCCTGTTTCTCCACCACTACTCTCTCGACCTCTACATTGTATCCTCCAGGAAGCTATGCTGAGCCCCAGGTCAAGAGAGATGACAGGGGTGTCTTATCCTATTAGCTTTCCCAGAACTTCCCGAGGGTCTGACCAGTATAACCAGAGCCCCTGGGAACACAGTGCTATATTCTCAGCAGCAGACACCAAGCCAGACTTAATCCCTGGGACGGTTTAGTCTAAGTCAAAGGGCTCAGAGGATTCCTACCTAGTTTGAATTGGCACAGGGCACTCTTTGTCAGTTAAGAGAGGGGTAGCCTATCGGCACAGTTCAGGTTGACTCAGGCTAGGATTGGAGAAAGCACAAAGGCTATTTCTTTTTTTTCTATTTTATTTTTTATTTAAATTAGAAACAAGCTTGTTTTACATGTCAATCCCAGTTCCATTTCCCTCCCTTCCTCCCCTGTCCCCCACTAACTCCCTATCCCATCCCCTTTCTGCTCCCCAGGAAGGGTGAGGCCTTCCATGGGGGATTTTCAACGTCTGTCGTATCATTTGGAGCAGGGCCTAGGCCCTCCCCCTGTGTCTAGGCTGAGAGAGTAGCCCTCTATGTGGAATGGGCTTCCAAAGTCCATTTGTATGCTGGGGATAAATACTGATCCTCTACCAGAGGCCCCATAGATTGCCAAGGTCTCCTCATGCTCCCCTCCCACGTTCAGGGTGTCTGGATCAGTCCTATGCTGGTTTCCCAGCTATCAGTCTGGGGTCCATGATCTCCCCCTACAAAGGCTATTTCAATGAGGCTGGGTGTGAAAGCAATGCCAGGCTTTTGTCCTCCAAAACGGACCAGGTTACACACAAACCAATCAAAGACACCGTCCTAGTGGAGTTGCTGCTGTTATGTTAGGACATCTGAGATACAGACCCAGTGACGCTCCTAGACTTGGCCATCTCCTGAAGCATCATGGCCTCCAACCCCAGGGTCTGCTGGTCCTAGTTCTATGTCTGTTGTAAGGCCATTGCTACACTGGCAGAACTTCTCAGCTGGCCCTTTATGGACACAGCAAGCAACTAGGTAGATGGCCTTTCCCTTCAGCCAGCTAAGGGACCTGGAGCCAGGTGACCCAGGGAGTCTAGAGCAGAGCTACAGCAGTAGTGCCCACACTTTGTGACAGCCAACAGGTACTTTGAGGCATGTCAGTATCTGTCCAGGTCCTCAGGGTCCTGAGGTAACTGATGCTCTGGGAGGCTGACTGGGCTCCCAGGGCTACCCAGCTGGACTCTCCTGCCAGGCAGGTGCAGCTCAGCCTGTCCCTTCTGTCACCAGCTGCTGTCACGTCCGCAAGCACTGTGAGTGGTGCCGTGCCCTCGTCTGCAGACACGAGAAGCCCAGCGCCCTCCTGAAAGGAAGGACCGCTTGCTGCCACTCTGAGACAGGTACAGGGAAAGCTTGTACAGGGTGACTTTCACCCTTTTCTTCCTGGGGAGGCACTGCCAGGTGGAGAAAATGGCCCCCATTTTCCAAGTTGTCACAGAGGTGCTGAGACAAAGCAGGAGGGGAGTGAGGGGCTGTTTTCCCCTACCACTCCTGACAGGGATACTCACCATGGGTTTGGCTGAACTGCAGCCCTCCTGACGGAAGTATCTCCCCCAGCCTACTCACTACTCCAGCTCCTCTTTCTCTGTCACTGAAAGCCCACTCCCTCTACTGCAACTCATTCTATCTGTCACTGAAAGCGTAGTTTCAGAAGTCGATGCCCCTGAAACTGAGCCAGAACTCAGCCTGGCTGCTGAGAGAAGCCAGTGAGTGACACTGGATGATGTTGCCTCTGAGTCTCCGACCCAAGCTTGTCTCCCCAGCATGGCTCAGGCCCACATTGTTCATCCTGTCTTTCTTTTCTGCCAGTGGTCTGAAGATCCCAGAGATGGAATCTGGCCAGGTGGCCTATGGCATCCCAGTGACAGAAAAACTTCTTGGGACAACACCCCCGACAGTGCCCAGGCACCGGGGACATGCTGGCCAGCCTTCTCTCACCGCACAATCGCCTGTGAAGCCTTCTGTCCTTTGCAGGCCTCCAAGACTGTGTGATAACTCTGCCTGCTGGGCTTCCTCAGTACACCCTAGAGAGGAGGCCAGTAGACCACGTTTTAGACACGCTGAACAAGAACCTCAAAGGGCTGGCCGTCTAGCTAACCCACCCCGGACATGTGTTTGGGGTGGTGTCTCCTGCCAGCCGTGGTTTCCAGGCTGTTTCTTCTCAATGGGGCCGTCTGCCCCCAGCAGAGACTCCTTGGCTGATGTACAAAATGGACAAGGGGAAACGTCTCTTGTTGTATGAAGACACTGTGGCCTCCCTGGCGCCTTGACATCTCCTCAAGCTGTTGCCAGGATGTGTGTCTTATTTATTAGATGGATAAATGGTTTTATTTTTAATATCTTAAGTTAATGTCAGGCATCCACATTAATGATACATAAGCAGTTGGCTGTGAAGTTACACCAAATAGAGATGTCCAGCCGCTTTGATACAGCAAGACTGCAGGGAAGGGGGCCTCCCAGGAGCTGTAGAGACAGCGTTCAAAAGTGCACTCCGGTGGAAGCAAAACTCCTGTTTGCAGGTCGTGCCCTCTAAGATACAAAGCGGGAAAGTCCCCCAGAAACACACTGTAGCAGAGTTAGCCAGGCCAGTGGCATGGAGAGTCCCCCTGGCCAGGGCAAGAGCACGAGAGCCTGTGTGGACACCTAGGAGGACACGCATGCCAATGCCTGAGTAAGTGGATTAACTTCCTCGTGAGCCCAGCTCCAGCTTTAGCAGCCAGCTGTGGGCCAAATCCATGAAGGGGACCAGTCCTGTTTTCCACGCTGTTGCCTTGGTTTCTGCTTTATTTTTAGAAAGAGAAATTTAACTTTCCTATTTATTTTCAAGCACTGGGATAAATATCCCACTGTTGTTTTGCTTTGTTTTGTTTTGTTCCCTTTCAGAACATTGGCATTATTAACAAAATCGCTGCCAAGCCTCTCAACTCCACTCTGGAGAAGGAGACGTGTTCCCTGAGCTCCTGAGGATGCTCTGACCCATCCCCCCCCCATCCCTGGGCTGCTCGGTACTGTCTGGAGACAGAATGACAGTAAACACACAAAGCTGCTTACTGAAGAGGGCACTCTCTGACTCAGAAGTGTAAGCCCCGTCAGCCCTCCTCAGCCTCTCACAGGGCATCAGGACAGGGACGTTTGACGAACCGAGTCAGTTTGGTTTCTATCAGAAAGACTTACCTGTTCCTCATTCTTCTCCCTTCTGCCTTTTCCTATGGAATTTTTCTTCTCATATGATCTAGGCATTGATCTGACCTAGGTCTTAGCCCTGCACTCTTTGTTCACAATGCCTGCAACCTCAAAAGAAGAAGCTGGGTCTGTTCAATGCTGTCCTCTAACTACATAGCTGACACAGCTCTAGGCAGAGGTCATCGTTTTCATTATTTTATTATTATTATTTTGGTTTTGGTGTTTCGTTTGCTTCTTTTTGTGAGACAAGGTCTTGCTGTGTAGCTCAGGTTGGCCTTGAACTCAAGATCTTCCTGCTGCAGCCTCCTGGGTTTTGGGCTTACAGGTGTACGCCACCATGCCCCGCAGAGTTTTTCAATCTTTAAAAGTAGGTTAAGTTTGCATTCCTTGGTGTCATTCATGTGGGTCAAGGTCGAGTGTAGCCTGCTGCTCAGAGACCAATCAACTGCACTGGACTTTAGACCTCTATTGGCTCCCAGCATTCTCAGCAGACCCTGCCTGAAGTCCTGCTCGTGGAGACCGACATAAATGGAGGTGTGGGGCTTGTTTTAGTTTAGTGCACACTGTTATCTTCAGATAGCAGGTCTTCTTCTGGTCTGTTGGTTGCTCCTGGACATCTGACTTCTTTTAAGGAGCTTGAACTAATATCAAAATATTAACAGGAATGTCCCATCCTAAAGATGTTACCAGGAATTGCCATCCAAGACCCATGGGGGAAATTAGGAAAAACACATGATGGTGGAGACAGAGGATCCCAGGGAGGACCTCAGCCTGGTGTCTGAACATTCATTCCAGTCCTCAGGTCCAGCCTGTCACGGCAGCAGGTAGCCCTCCTGGTGCCCATACACAAACGCAGCTGGCTCACACGCCCGCTAGAAGTGCCTTCCCAGTGAGGCCTTTTGCAAAACAATGGGTCTGAACAGTCAGAAGCTGAGACTGGGTTGAGACAAGTCTGGCTGGACATCGTCCCTGCCCCAGCAGATGACAGCCCTGCTTTTTGGTAACTTTGATTTTGGAAGTCAGACAAATACTATTTTCCTTCTTGGGCCATCTCACAGCACAGATACCCTTGGTTAGCCTACCAGTGCCCTCCTGTCAGTTCACACTGCTCTCCTGTCAACTCACACTGCACTCCTGTCAGCTCACACTGCACTCCTGTCAGCTCACACTGCACTCCCCACAGCACCCTCCTGTCAGCTCACACTGCACTCCTGTCAGCTCACACTGCACTCCTGTCAGCTCACACTGCATTCCCCACAGCACCCTCCTGTCAGTTCACACTGCATTCCTGTCAGTTCACACTGCATTCCTGTCAGTTCACACCACACTCCTGTCAGCTCACACTGCACTCCTGTCGGCTCACACTGCACCCTCCTGTCAGTTCACACTGCACTCCTGTCAGCTCACACTGCACCCTCCTGTCAGTTCACACTGCACTCCTGTCAGCTCACACTGCACCCTCCTGTCAGTTCACACTGCACTCCTGTCAGCTCACACTGCACCCTCCTGTCAGTTCACACTGCACTCCTGTCAGCTCACACTGCACTCCCCACAGCACCCTCCTGTCAGTCCACAATGTACTTCCTGGCCCTCTCTTGGTGTTCTATGCATCTATAAATAAGGAGTAGTCCTTAGTGACCACACAGGACAGTGGACAGCACAGCTGTTCCAGTGACTCGGGGGACTATGAACATCCCCAATGAATGAACTGAAATTAATTCTAGGAACATCGAGATGGCTCTGTGAGTAAACGTACTTACCAACAACCCTGAGGACCTGAGTTCAATCCCTGGGACCCACATGGTGGAAAGAGAGAATTGTTCTACATACATGCTCTCTCTCTCTCTCTCTCTCTCTCTCTCTCTCTCTCTCTCTCTCTCTCTCTCTCTCTCTCTCACACACACACACACACACACACACACACAAATTTTTAAAAATAAAATGAATTTTAGAAAGGCCCACACACACCTCTAGTTGTGACTTTAAACACACCACAGGACACATTTTCTCTGTGGAAAAATACAATGGTGACTCCAACCTGTAAGTTAGATTCCAGGTGGACATACACAGAACCAAGCCCAGAAAAAGGTGGGACTAGTCCAAGATCCCTTTTCTCCCTTAAAAAGGGGAAGGGGGGCAGGAGGCAGAGTTCGTCCTGAGCACTCAACGCGTGTGAGGGAGGAGGCTGTGACTCTAGGTTTAGTTAGTGGATTGTTCCCTTCAAGTATAGAAAGTCACCTGGGGTCCCCAAACCAAGTTTCCTAGTGCCTGTGAGTCACTGGATGGACCAGAAACATTCTGACACTACAGGCCCAGTCCTCTGGTGAGTTCTAAGCCTGTCTCTCCCAGGACCAAGGGGAGGCCATACAAAATAACACATGCATTTTTGACATAGGGTTTCACTCTATAGCCCAGGCTAGCCTTGAACCCGTGATTCCCCGGCCTCAGCCTCCAGGGTTACAGGTGTGTGCCACCACACCTGGCTTATGTTTGTTTTTAGTGTTCTGGTGTAAGACTTATTCCCTAAAACCATTGTTTTGTCTCGAAGACATAGTGTTGCACACACACAAAGTACTGAAAAGCAACTCCTCTCCATAGTGTAATAACTTTATTATAAGAGTCTGATGCTGTTTTTAGAACTCATCATTCTGACTTCTGTATATGATGCACTGAAGGTTAATATGTAATGTTTTAATTTATTTTATGTGGTAAGTTAATTTTGGTTCTGTAATGTATTAATGTGATTAGAAGATTTTTCCTTAATATCTGAATTATACTTAAAGAGTAGTGAAGAACATAAGATACTGTTGTGTTTTCCAGAAATGTGTATTGTTACTCAGTTGTATTGTACCTTGTTGGGAAGGATGAAGGAATGAACTCTTTTATTTCCTAAATACCAAGACTGGAATTTTCCTTTAATGTGGCTAACCGAAGATTTCTCTGAAAAGGTGAATAAGAAAAAGTAGTAGGTAATCTTTTTTAAGATTTGTTTTTATTCTTAATTACATGTACTTATTCGTGTGTGTCTATGCAGGGATATATGCACATGAGCGCAGTTGTTCTCAATGGCCAGAAGAGGGCATTGGACTTCCCCTATTTCTAGTGTTACAGGAGGCTATGAGCCGCCTGACATGTTCCAGCCTAACATGCCAGCACAGGGCTATTGAAAGAACAGTAAACTCTCTTCAGCATGGAGCCATTTCTTGAGTTCTAGATGATCTTTGTAGGAATCCTAAGTCTGACTGTACCTAACCCCTGTCTGCATAAAGAAATGAAGTTCTTCCTAATACCTGGAGGAAAACAGTGACACTCCATCCTGTACTGAGGGACACTAAGGTAAGACCGCATGCAGAAAATGCCCCCGTGTTGTTTCCTGACAACAGTCATAGTCGCCATGAGGATTTAAGGTAAAGAGTGTGCAGATGGCTGTGTGGTCTACAGTAACATTCTTAGGAATGGAGAGCCTGGGGTACAATGTGTTAAACCCCAGGGGTGCCCCTTGCACCTCTGCTTCTCAGTCCCTCTGACAACAGGACCCATACTAAGAACCTGTGCTGTAGGACTCCGAGACAGTTTTTGAGTGAGGCTGTTTCTGGGGAAAGCTTTGCAGAGTCCTGCGCAACAGTGAAACTCAGTTACCCTGTGGGGTTTGTTCTGGCGTCCTTTCTGTTGTGATAAAACACCCTGACACAAAGCACCTTAGGGGAGGAAAAGGCTCACTCCGCTTCCAGGTCACGGCCATGAGGAATGTCAAAGCAGGGACTTGGAACAGCTTATCACATCACGGCCACGGTCAAGAGCAAGAGGAGCTGGACATGGCACTCTGGAGGCAGAAAGAACTCAGGAGTTCAAGTCCAAGCAGGTCTACATAGCAAGCTCCAGGAAAGCCAGAGCTGCAAAGAGAAACACTGTCTCAATCCCACCCTCCTGCAAAAAAAAAAAGAAAGAAAGAAAGAGAAGAGAAGAGTAGAGAAAAAGAAAAAAGAACAGAGGGGAAAGCACATATGCCACCGGCCTGAGGACGCTTCTCTGACTTTCTTCACTTTTATTTTAATTTATTTATTATGTATACAATGTTCTGACTGCACGTCTGCTTACAGGCCTGAAGAGGGCACCAGATCTCACTATAGATGGTTGTGAGCCACCATGTGGTTGCTAGGAACTGAACTCAGGACCTCTGGAAGAGCAGCCAGTGCTCTTAACCTCTGAGCCATCTCTCCAGCCCCCCTTTCTTCTCTCTTACACAGTTCCGAGTCCAGCTCTGGTGCCACCTACATTCAGGTTGAATGAATCTTCTCATCTTAAGGACCAAACAAGACAATCCCTTACAGACATGCCCACAGGCCAACCTGATCTAGACAACTCCTCATTGGGACCCTCACCCAAGTGCTTCTAGGTTGTGTCAAGCTGACAGAACTAGCCAGCAGAGAGTTGCAGTGCACACAGCCCAAACGCCAAGGCTGCATCTCTTTGGATCTCCTCTGCAGTGCCTGGTGGAAGTACACACAGGCCTATCTGTCTCTCTTCTGCCCCATCCCTTGGAACCCACTGTTGGCCTCTAACTGCAGAGAGCACTTCTAGAACTGTCCACCCGGTCCCTGTTAGTTTTGGCAAACCATCCCCGTGTCTCTCCAGTGCGTGGGCCTTGCATGTGCAGCTCAGCCATTCACAGCCATGGAGCAGGAGTCCAAGAGTTGCCAGACAGCATCGAGGCATGGTTCAGCGAGGGACAGAGCTATAAAGATCCGTGTGTGTGACCAACAGATCCATATTCATCAACCTACCTTGAAAAAAGAAGGGAGCTTCCACAAGGAAGGTCACTGGTTTGTGCTAAACGCTATGCATGAGTGGACCACAGCTTTACAGGAATTTTATTCTTGGGCATAAAAATAGAGATTTTGACGCCGGGTGGTGGTGGTGCACGCCTTTAATCCCAGCACTCAGGAGGCAGAAGCAGGCAGATCTCTGTGAGTTCGAGGCCAGGCTGGACCGACAGCCTCCAAAACAATACAGAGAAGCCCTGTCTTGTAAAACCAAAAAAAAAAAAAAAATAGAGCTTTTGTACTGAAAGGGAAATGCATGGGGGGCAGCCTCTTTGCAAGAACACTGGGTCTAGTGAACATTGCACACTGAAGTGCCCAGGATAGGTCCTCTGCCACAAGCACTGCAAGGGCCCCCTGGAAGACAGGAGAGCTGGAGTACTGCCCAAGAGCCTACACCTCTAGCATTTGACACACAGGAGGACAGGATTGTGGGTATGAGTGTCATCCCAGGAGGACACTGCAGCATTGAAATGTCCCACCAGAACAAAGAAAGAGTGGCCTTTCCCCTGCTCTGTGCATACTCCCAGCCAGGGTGTGGGGCTTCTGGGTACCTGTCAGGAAGGGGACCCGGGAGCCAAGTCCTGAGGCCGCTTCTCTCCACCTTGGCACTCTGGGGCTCTGCTAGTCATTCTGCCTCCAGTGCTGTTTGTTCAGTTCCCACCCACTCAGCTCAGGACGCTGAGCTAGGACAGTCTCCCACGTGTGCAGTCTGGTTCTTAGAGCAAAAACCTAAACGTGTTCCTAAACGCCTGGAAGATGTGATCCAACTCAAGCCCCCAGCCTCCAGTGACCTTCAAGGTGAAGGAAAGCATGGGGGAAGGGTGTCAGGAGAAGACCAGAGAACCCAGAACCTGTGGGGCCATACAAGCAGATGATAGTGTCATCATGTCACACGTTAAAGTGATTAAGGGACTGAGGAGTTGGCTCAGTGGGTGAAGCAATGAGCACAGAAGTGTGAAGGTGTCAGTTCAAGTCCCCAAAACCCACATAAAGTCAGTTGTGTCTCTATAATCTCACCACTCCTAAGTGAGATGGGAGGCAGAACCCACAGAATCTTGGGAAGTTCACAGGTGAGGTAGCCTGAAGTATGAAGCAGCATGACTGCACTTACCACATGCACACACATACACACACACGTGCACACACATACACACATGAACACAGATACACATGCACTCACACACACATATATACAGAACACTCATAGACACACATGCACACACATACACACATACATACATGCACATAGACACATGAACACAGATACACATGCACACACACATATATACAGAACACTCATACACACACACACACACACACACATACATATATACAGACACACACATATACACACAGGCAGCTCAGGGACCTGCTATGTGAAGTTCACAGCCAGCATGGGTCTTCATTTTCATCTCCTTCCTCTGCTCTCATCAAGTGCTATCTTCAAGTACATTAGAAACACACCCTAAGCATCCCACAACATCCTTCCGTCCACTTGAGGGTCTGTAGCTTTAAAGATCACATACAACAGGGCTTCCTTACAGCAGCACCCAAGCCTTACTTGAGTGCAGACTCGGATGCACCCTGGGAGATTTCCATACTGGGCAGGAAAGTGTGAACCCTGGACTCTGGACGAGGCAGTTAAGCTCCCATTTCAATGCTGTGGCTTTTAGTTGGCTTCTGAGAAGACACAAACTGCCTCATAAGCATTAGGTCTATAAATAGAGGGCTCCCTGAACAGCTACTTAAAATTCCAATGTAGGAGATAAGGCAAATCTCAAAACCTGGTACAATGATTTCCACAAAACCACTCCTATTTTTGTTTGTTTGTTTGAGACAGGGTCTCCCTAGGTTGTGGTTGACCTGGAACTTACTATGACAACCAGGCTAGCCTTCAGTTTACAGAGATCTACCTGCCTCTGTCTTCTCTTCTGAGTACTGGGAATAAAGTTGTGTGCCACCATGTCTAGCCCATTTACTTAGAAAACTATAAAGATAATATCCCTCCCTAATAGAATTTAATTCTCTAGAACAGATAAACTGAAACGAGAAATTATATGAATTTAACTGACTACAACAATAACACTAATAATGATAACTTAATGTTTTTTATAATTATAATGCAGTGGTGTCAAGTATAAAGTGACTATTTCAGCTATCAGCTATTTTCAGGGATTCTATGGGATGGCATAGTGGCTTAAGGCTCTGACAACCTGGGTTTGATACGTAGGAGCCTCTTGGTGAAAGGAGAAAACTAACTCCTACAGGTTGTCTTCTAACATCTATTCACTTGTCATGGCATGCCACACACACAAATAAAATATTTTCAGAAAAAATTATATGTTGTCTCCATAATGAAAAAGAAAGGATCTCTATTGTTTCTAATAATTAGTTACTATTCCAACCAGAATGTAAACTTAAGACACCCGCTATAATTTCCTCAGGCTATGCCTGATCTGTCCTGAGGATGGTTAGACTTAACTCTAACCACATGGTCCTATCATTCTTTTCTGCCTTATGTTCTTTACCAACTCTGTAACTGTGCTATGTTTGCTGTATAGTCATCCATTCAGTGTGTGATTGCTTCACCTAGTAGGAACAAGACTTTTGGGCCTTAATTCACTACTGTATCCGAAGGGATAAAATAACATCTACCATGTAAACTACCTAATAAATATTTTGGAATGAAAAAAGGCAAAAGAAAAGATCAATAGGAGCTGAGAGATGACTCAGTGGGTAAGAGCACCAGCTGCTCTTCCAAAAGACCCCAGCTGAGTTCTCAGCACCCTCAACTGCCTGTAATTCGAGCTCAAGGGGATCTTAGGCCCTCTAGTGGGCATTTGCACATATATGCACATAGGTACACACTTACACTTAAGTAAAAATGCTTACACGTAAGTAAAAATAGATCTTGACAAAAGGTGAATAATTTTGATCAAGCAAAAGACCAGTGTCAGGTATCCACTCACATTGCTTGTAGACAGCATTTAATGAAGTCTAGTCAGATAGATTAGGCAAGAAAAAAAAAATATATATATATATATAATCACTGACTTAGTTAGGGCTTCTATTGCTGCAACAAAACACCATGACCATAAAGAAAGTTGAGGAGGAAAGGGTCTATTCAGTTGACACTTTCCACATTGCTGC